AAGGAATCTTCCCATTGACCTTAAGTAATGATACCAGTTATATTACTCAATGTAGAGTTAGAGTTGACCTTAATGTGTCTGTGTTCCCTGCAGATATCCAATGGCTGTTAGTGATTAAAGAAGAGGTTCCCTCAGAGTTGAGTCCCAGTCTGGATCAGGCAGACCCAAAGATCAAAAAAGTATATTTTTTCCTTGTGAAATATTTGTTTTATGAAATGCCCTTGTGTTGTTTCTCAGTGATGAATCAGCATGTTGGTTTAAGGTAACTTACTGTAGGTTCACCTGAAATGAATTCTGCTGAGGTTCAGGTGGAAGGCCCAGCGTGGATCTTTTCTACAAAGAGGTGTTAAGCAAAACAAAGAAAATGACCAAAAAACTAAAAAAGACACAAAACAACCAAAAAGAGAAGAAAAAAGCAGTGAATCTCCAGGTGGGTTTTGGTGGACAATTTGGGCCGTGATGAGAATTGTTCAAAGTGCTATCTCCAAGGTCAAGAATTAACTTTAATTTAATCACTTATATCATTTAATTACTTTTAAATTGTACATCTTTTTTAGTTTCAGCCTGTACAATATATCCACACAATAGCAGCACAGTAACAAAGTGACCATTTTATTGAGATTCATAAACATTTGTATTGTGTGGTGGAGCGGTAGCACAGCCTGAGTATTTAGCAACCCGTTCTCAGACAAATCGGAACTGTACCTCTCAACATTATGTGTATAATAATCTACACACAAAAAACTAGGAACAAAACAAAAAATATGCATGCTTCAGTGTCACCTCCCAGCAAAGCTCCACCCAGTCATTCACACCCTCTGCTAAATTCCCTTTTTTAAATGAAAATAAACAAAAAGCTTGAAAAGACACAAATACAAAACAGCTGCTACAATTTGCCACCACCATACCCTTCTGCAGAACATCCCATGATTTTATTTCTCCAAAACCTTATGGAAATATTTCTATAATAGCTGCTATCAATGCACTTACATATCAGTGTTATGGGAATATTCAGACCATTCTTTTTCCAGAATAAATATCAGTGTTTAACATCTACAATGTATCAGCCCAATAAAACAAGACTTCCTTACACTGTCTTCACATTTTCAACAAATCACATACATCATTTTTATGCATGCCATTTGTTTCCCAAAGCACGGATTACTTGCAGGACACATACGGCTCTGAAATGTATGAAATAGTGTGACATCTGTGACATGAAAAAAATAAAATAAAAACAAAACTTTTCAAAACCTCAATTGACCCATCTGAGGTCCCACCCCCTTTTGCTCTGTGCTCCAATAACAGTTGAGCAAGCCTCGGTCAGAACCTCAGACAACTTTCTCCATTCCTGTACTTAAAATATGCTATGCATCTTACATTAGCTAATGTTAGTAAAATGCTTTCTAGCAAATGTAACTAGCCATCTATTCTACATAAATCATTAGCTAGCTGGTTAGCTAACGTTTTGCTACAGAGAAAAAAACTAGCTCACTAATCTACGAGTCGCTAGCTAGTTACATCTGAAAGCTAATGTATGCAAAACGCTGGGTAACTAGCTAGCTAATTTACATAAATAGTTAACGTTTTGCTGACATTAGCTAACCTAAGATGTGGGCTATCTCACTTATCTTTTAACCATCTTCATAATTTGGTTGTCCTTTCAACATAGACAAGTACAGGAAGAAAGCCGACTGACGTTCTGAGCGAGGCCGAGCGAGGCTTGAGAGTTCTATCTGGTATGAACTCTTGTGTATTTCAGAATTATTTTCAAGCCACATCTGCTACCACACTGTGGGCAGCTAAAAGATTTCTTGCTACGGTTATATCTGGTATCACCTACATGGACTTCATTACTTTTCAGAGTATTTATGGCTCAGTTGCCCTGCTCTCCTTTCAACCATTGTTACTTGGTTATTGGAGCAAAAAGGGGCAGGACTTAGGAAGGGTCAATAATAAAACGATGATGAGGCCACCACAGAAAGCGGTGAACAGATATACTGTGAGCTGAATGGAAACAGAAACAGACACCACGGTAGCACATTTCCTGCACTGAGCAACAGAAAACCAGCTAGCTTATGGATATTAGAAAAGATGTACATACATATCAAAACGCAAAGGCTTCAAAAGTGAAGGCAAACTCTGATGCTTCTTATCACAACATCAAAAAACTGCAAATAAACAAAACATTCAAGGAAAGCTTCAGGACTTCCCTTTACTTATAAATACAATACAGTATAAATAACAGTACAAAAGATTGTAGAAAAAAAGACAGGGAAGATGCAACATAATCACAGCCTTGTCCTCTTGGTTGTACAGATGAGTGGATAAGGCCTCACCACTGCCAATGATGAGTGCAGTACTACTAATCTGACTGCCAGTAGTGAGTTTATCAGGAGAGAGACACATCTGATTCTAATCTAACTCAAACCTAAATTTACTGACAAGGAAATCCTGTATTCCTGTTGCTTCTGTAGTGCCCCGTTAGCCCACTGTGATCATTTCTGTAGCCAGCACGCAAATAAAGCACCATTAAGGTGACATCACATATCATTAGAGATGTTCATCCCATTGTTAAAATGAAAATGATAAAAAAAGTGAACCTGTGTATTCAACTGTTGCTTAAAAAAATACTCCCACAGGCTGCTTATGGTTAATGATGGGTCAAAGTTAAGCTGTGGTCAAACATGTCCGACCTGTGTAGAACACTATCTGTTCTTACACCCGCTGGGTCCTACTCAGCGTAAGTGGGTTGGGGGCTGGAGCCTATCCCAACATGCCATGGGTGAATGACAGAGAAGGGTGCTGTACAGGTTGCCAGTCTCTCTCAGGGCTAACAGGCAACTACTTTTCTGTTACTGAGGCCCCATTTACACTTAGAGTTGCTCCAAATCCAGTATCAGAAATTCTTCTGTCTAAAATCTGATATTGTTGCGCGTTTGTGTCTGTGCATTGATCTGATACCTTGTCATTTATTAGTCCTGAAATGGGACCCTGTTACTTCCCAGCAGTGTCCAGGTCATCATTTCCCCCCCAGGGTAGCAGGTCTCTGACATTTACAGGTTTACAGGTTTACCTGAGCCAGGCCATACATATATAATATATCATTATAATTAATATTATGCATATACTGGTAAGCCTGTATTTTTGCTATTTTAAAACGCAGACTGGTACTTGGTACCAAACAATACGGGAATGAAAAAATGGTCTCAGAACTTCTCTATTTACACTTGCCATATCAAGGGTATTATATCTTAGCACCATTGCCAGACAAGAATGTCGATATTGGATGATTCTCTGAGACCCCAGATTGCTGTCAGTGACAATGTTATTTATATCCAATTCCAAGAATTAAAGCAATTCTCATGGTACAATATCATCTCATGGAAACTATGGTATACTTACGGGTAGGGGTAGATTGTCGTCATGGCAAACATGGCTAAGGTGTGGTTAGCTAGGGCGAGGCAACCAAAGAAACTGGTTAATGTTAGGGAAAGACTGGGGTTACAGTGAACATTAATTGAAGGAAACCCTACTTTCCGGCTTTCTACATAAAGGGCACTGTATGTTGGCCCTGGGCATAAATTGTGAGGTACTAGATCATCTAATATGGACATGTAAGTCTTAGGGATATTGAGCAGCACATCTAGATGAACTCATTTACCCTCAGCCACATTTAGTCAATGCCATTTCTTTTGCTGTGATGTCTAAATACAAATTAACATCAATTTAGTACTGCACTCTTATAACATTAGTGGGCAGTTTAAAAAAGGTGTCAAAATCAATGCAGCAGAACCAGAGATGTTCCTCTCCTTTCCTTTTTCCTACAATACCCAAAATGCATCTTGACAGCTGACAGTTCAGTCTGGGATTCAGGTGTGTTATGCTAGTAACGGCTAACGACTTCACACAGCTCACCCTGGAGACACTAAAGACTTTATACAATTTATTTCACATATGTACTCATACTCCTCAACAACTTTGATTTGTGAAATTAGTGGAGTTTAACTTGAACAATTAAGATCATTCAACAATGACAAACCCTGCAGTTACATTTTTAGAGGAGTAAAGGTCTATGTGGCTATGAGAGTTTTTTTACCTTTTCAACATTTGGCTAAAATGGTGGACTTCAATACAGCTTTAATGCTTCTTGGTTGCATTTACACTTGGCTTATACTTACTTCTACTTTTTGATATGAGATAATTCTCTGTCCAAGACGCATTAGGTGGCTATGTGTAAATGGGGCATCAGATTCTCCAATAACACGACTTGTGTTTAGAGTTTGAGCGGAACCCACACAAACACTGACAGAACATGCAAACTGTTTTCATAAAGAACCAAAGCAAATATCTGCACTCAGGACTGTCCTCATGTCAGGCAGTACTAACCGCTAAGCGCAACAACCCCACAGGCCACATATGAGGCAGTCAGTAACTGAGGCACAGTTTCATTACTGGACTAGAGATGTAGACAAGGGGCTGGGGGTTGCTGAGGGTGCACTGCAGTCGGACATCATCTGAAAGAACATGGTAGACTGTGGAACAGATTGGAGTAAAGGTCTTAACTATTGCATATATTACACCGGTTTGTTCAAGGGCCCCAGTACATATGATTAGTTTATACCAGAAGGGGCTGATCGGTTCAGGCAGCCGATGCAACGATCCCAGGCCATTGGAGCCCTACATGCTTTGCTTCAGTCATGTTGTTTGAGATGGTAAAGGTTCAGATACTGGAGTACCTGCTCCGTGCAAAGAGCAACACCATGGTGATGGTACGCAGTCACAGAGAAGAAGTTCATCAGTGGTAGTCTTGAATAAGACTACAAGCAGCTACCATTCAAACAGCAGGACCAGAGATGCTGAGAGGTGAAGCACCACTCTGGCCAACGGGGCCAGCAGGAAACACAATGTCCACATGCGCATTCTTTGTTGTCAAGGAATCAAGAACTACCAGTTTGCTTGGTCAACATGATCACAATCAGTCTCCACAGAGGGGATCCCAGAAGCCCTTGTGAAGGAATTAATGGCTACTTTGATAGTGGAGATGTGACATCATCCTCTCCGCTTTTGAAAGCATCGCAGAGCAAGAAAGCTGGAGAGAGACTGCTGGAGTTAGTAACATTGCTGTCCATTCAGAGGAGAACGTCAAAGGTCTGTTCCGAGCTGCTGTCGTCACTTTGGACTGAGCTAAAGAATGGGAAGCTGTCCAGATCTCAGCCTTCCCGGACCATACCAATAATTGTTGAGTGTCAGACATGGATAAAGTATTGTAGAAATTGTTGATTCTGTAACTACCCATCAGACCCTCCTATTTTTCATATTACACCCTTTACCTGGATTTGCTGTCAGTGTACTGCATCTGAATCAGACCAAAGTTGTTTATGAAGTATTCCTATATTACTGTATCCAGTTTCAGTATGCCAGACCACTTCTATTTCCAAGCAAATTCTCTAATTCATGAAGGACCTTTAGCACTTCTCTCATGTCTCTGCTCATTGCTGTGGAGCCTGTTGAAGATTGTATTGGCTTTCAAATTATTGACATTGCTTGAAAAAGAAACTTCATTGCTATAGTTAACTGAGAGCATAACAAGAGAATGTGCATGGATGGCTTAACTATTACTTACAGTGGCGTATACCTTCAGTGGTCCATCTCCTGTTTTCCCAGAAGAGCATTTTAGTCACCATATCAAAACCATCACCAGTTGTTCAAGGGGTCAGATTTGGGCTCTAATTTCTTATCAACGTGCAGTCTTCTCAATAAATTGTCTGCAAATATATTCTTTGCCTTCACATCTAGCTGCTGTTTCTGTCATTAAAACACAGTGATACCGATAGCCTACCCTCCTTTCTTAATCACCTTGCAACATGCAGGATTCCTTAATTACCATCATTTGCCATGATTTATTTGACTCACACAGATGCTAAGTGGTCTTGACAAAGTAATCAATCGTTAATCAGCCCTCTCCTGTAGCTTAGACTTCTGCTGCGCTGCATATTTATGTCTCTTCTCAAAATCGCCAATGTGTTGCAGCTACAGCTCTGACTGACACACAAGATCCATATAATTCTTTATATTAGTTATATTTTAGATTGGATTTCAGGGTTCTACTGTTCCCCCTTCAGGCCTTGAAATGGCTGGTGTCTGGCACCAAGCTACATCGCATTTCATTTATTCTTTATGTACCAGATCCCAGTCTCAGATCCTCAGGTAGATTCTTACTGGCCCACCACAGTCCAGATCAAATACATAATGATCCTTGTAGGCTCTCCAGATTAAAAATCACACGATTGTTCCTTTGGCATCAGGGCTACCAGACTTTTGCATCCATCTGATGAGCTTTTTTAAAATCTGCATTATACTTCGAACTGCTTCTTTAAAGCCACATAGATTACATATTTATCAGAATTTATAAGAGCAGCAAACCACCTGAGAATTTGTGTGCCAGAATTTGCACACGTCATTAGCATTGAGATTGAATTCACAGAAAAGATGCACAAATGTATACGTCCGAATCTGTCATGTTTAATCGAATGTCTTATTTTTTTTCTTGTGTAGACAACAATTTCATTCGATGTGTGATAAATGGGAAATGTTAAGCTTTGTCATGTTTGTGTGTGCACTGTTGCATGATTTGTTTCTCTCTGTTTTTGCAGTATATGCAGTTTTTGTCATTTACTACTTTATCACTTAAATCTTTTCTGTGAGTCAACATTTCAACCCGGTATCAACAAGTATTTAGATGTCATAATAGTGTCTTAAATTTTATGTAAAGTTCTTGTTTTGGGTGCTATTGTGTAGCTATCGTTTTACTTTACTTGTTGCTGATAGTTTTTGTTAGCTTTTTCTGTTACTGTAAGTATTTTAATCATTGGATGGATGAAGCATTTTGCTATATGCAACTTTAAATTATCTTGATTCCATTTTTACATACCATTTGTATGCATATATATAGAAATATTTTTATAAAACGCTGCTGCTGTGTTCCATATTCTCCAGTCTCAGTGATTAATATAAAAATAACCGTAGTCCTGCCGTGGTGCTGTCATAAAGATCCTCATAGCTAAGTGAGAGACTCTAACACAAAGTACCATAACAGTGACGTACATATATCCATATGACCAAAAACTTTGTCGAGTACAATCCAGGTATCTTTACGACGTATTGAGCCCACAATTGCTGCTTGTTTTTCGCATTGTATCCCAGCCAGTGTTACACAGAAAGGGATGCGGTGTGGATTTGTCTGTCTTGTCTGTCTCACTCCAGGCCAAATGTGCTGGTTTCCTCCACCGCGATCAACAGTTTCTCATACAGCATGGTGTATGAGGGGTACGGTGGCAGGTCCAGACGGTTAAAACAGGTATGAGCCCTGAGAGAGAGAGAGAGAGAGAGAGAGAGAGAGAGAGACTGTTAGACAGTATACGGCTTTTGAAAAACATTCAGGAGGATCAAGGACACCAGCTTGTATCTATCTCAAATATCTTTTTGGTGTAAGCAGCTGGAATGAGGAATCTAAGGGAATTTCTCATCTCGATATTTCAACATCATCATATCTACATATAGGATTTCCTTAGTATAGTAATACAACAGAGTTTTCAAGGTCCAGTGTTGCTTTTATCGTCTCCCGACAAAGGAATTGCTGCATAAAAGCGGATGTTACAAAAAGACAGACTAAACATTTATGCATACATACTTGACTTGTCTAATATTATGCTCCTTTATCTTGTTGCCTCCCCAGAAAACATGGAGCTTTTCTTCTGTGTGTGGCTCCCTGTTTTGTTCATTCCGTGCTTGTGCACACGAGTGACACTGTAAACAGCCCTCCCAATGGTTGCTTTATTCGACTTATCTACAGGTGGTAGTAACAAAAGTAAACATGGATGTAAAGCAGTGGTTCACTACCTTTTTTCTTAAGGGACTCCTTTTCTATTACTGACTGAACTGACTGACTATCTGATGGAAACTTAATATTAGAATCAATGTATAACAATATCAGCTCTGTGAATATAGTTTGTGTTCAGGTCTTCACCGTGCCCATATCCTGTGATTTTTTTTTTTTAAAGTTTATATGTTAAAGAATAATTCAAACTTTATAAATATCAAATTAATTTAGTTCTCCACATAAATAAATGAAATTCTGAGATATAGGCCTAATGTATTATTTTTTTTTTAATCAAGTTTTCTTACTCTCCTTAAAATCAAAAAGGACTCACAACCTCCTGTGAGGTTTTGGTGACCCCTAGTGGGGAATGGGACCCCCAAGTTGGAAACCAGTGGATTTGCAATGAGCATGGAGATGGATTCAAACAAAACTTTTGTTAATAAGAAAACTCCACAGTCGACTTTAAACTTAGCAAATGTAACTCAGCTCAACAGCGCCCACTGTTGTGTGACAACTACAGGTTAATGCTACATGCTAAATTATAAATTCAGCAGTCTGTAAAGTTCAGTACACACTATCTACCTCAAGTTTATTAGCATTAGCTAACATTAGCCCCCATAAGCTACTGGCCACAACTGACCAAGTAAAGCTGAAGCAGCAAAACCTCTGAATGTATTGAACTGCATTTTGTAGCTTATTACTTTTTTAACTTGTAAGAGAAAGACTATTCCTTCATTCAAAAGTTACACAGCTCCACTTTACACCACCTCGGCTGTGATGCTGAAGCTTCCACTGTCCACAAAGTCACACTCTTGCACCTTTCCCTGCTCTGCAGTGAAACCTGAGCCCTGCTGCTCTCTGTTTCTGCTGAGCATGCTCACATTTTTCACTGCTCTTTGCCAAGTTAATGTCCCACTGTAAGGTCAGTATGGGCTACACACCTTTCACAATATCAGAGGAGGGAAAACACCAAAATAGCTGTTGTGCTGAGCTGGCGCACTGTAGTGAACAGATGTGGACAATGTCACAGCATTTACATTGCTTACATTAGCAGCATTACAAGCTTCAAGTGGCATTAATGAAAGAATACATACCAAAGCACAATGCTGCTACATTTTGGAGGTGGCAGGCGCTTTTAATTATCATTAAATTCAAAAATTATTATTATTATCACCAGCCACGTGCACTTCACAGTCACAAAAATCACATGACTGAGTGATACTTAATGTTACCTCTTGAATATCATAAAAAATGCAGTCAACATCCCCAAAATGTGTTTAATCCCAAGGAGTATACATTTACCAGATCCAATGGTTTGTATGAGAGCAGAGGAATGATTTAAACTTAAGAGACAACTTGTCAGATTGTTTTGTATTTCATTCATAAGTTGACTCGTGGGAAACAAGATTTTTGTTTTTGTTTGCTGATAGCAAGTTAATTCAGGTCATACTCGAACCGCAACAAGTAGTCGATTAATTGATTAATCGAAAAAATAACCAAAGAAAATTAAAGTCCAACTGTTTTTCAAATGTATTAATCATACAGGCAAGTGTTTTATGCAAAAATCGTAAACATTTAATGTTAAATGTTTTAACAATTGTCGGTTGGAGCTCCAGGTGATACATTATTGAATATGATACATACATCATCATTATAATCATCATTATTATATTGTGTGACACTGGCTTAGATACCTGGGTAGTGATGTGACTTTGCCCCACTTCTCGATGCAGAAGCGGCGTAGGCCGTTGGATCCCCGCAGCGCGGCAAAGCCTTCGTAGGGCACGCTGGATGTCCCGGTGACAAACTGCAGCAGGCGGAGACGCTGCTCATTGTTGAAGCGCTCCACGGCGGCCCAGAACCACCGCATCACTATGTGACCATCATGGTAACCTAGTGGTTGGGAGTCAGTTAACATGTGAATCAACTCAGGTTAAGGGCTTTGCATGCACAAGTCTTATACACTGTAAAAAAGAATCTCAATAAAGTAAAAAGGCCTTGTTTCTGGGAAATGAGTCTTTCATGTTATATTACTTCAGCATATCAATGTTGTTTTGGTTTTTTATTGTTATGTATTTTGTTTGTACTTCTTATCAGTAACTGATAGTTGCACCCTTTGTATAAATTGAAAACATCCTTTCTTAGGAAGTGTGATTCTGTCTTGGAAAGTAAACCTCAGTTGATTCGTACAGCATCTTCCATGTGTTACTAATAAAGTTGGAGTTCTCCTTCACGTCTTTCCTTGACCTCTTTCCACCAAGGTCAAGGAATAGTGTTTAGGAAGGACATAAGACGTCTTCTTTTCTTTTACAATTCAACTGCAACCAATGAGTTTGTTGACTTTCGAGCTTTGTTTAATGCACCTCATGTTCTACCTCAGACTGTTTATCTAGTGTAGACATTAGTGGACTGTGTATGCAAATGAACATATAGGCCGACATGTAACTAGTTTTTGGTATTTATTATATTTATAATATAAACAGCAAGGCAAATAACAGAAACATACTTAGAGAGTTTACATACGGTTTTATACACACACACACACACACACACACACCTCCTCTGTACTCCGTGTTGCTCCTCCAGTCGCTGAGGTCGATCTCTACCGTACCGGCGATAACCAGCTCTAGCTCCCGTGCGTCGAACACGGACACCAGCCTGGAGTCTACCACCTGGGAGGGAGAAACACAAACACATGCAAATGTTTCTGTTGTCTTCAGGTGTGTGCGGTTGCATGCTTGTATATGCATGTATGCAGCTAGACTTTAGAAAAAACTAAAATGAACTAAAACGACATTGTGTAGTTATAAAGCTAATAATATTTTATTGTAAACTATTTTGAACATTTTTCATATTACAATAAAAATAAAAATAATACTTAACATATTAAAACAATAAAAACTAAATTGAAAACAAGCATACCCACTCTGGAAACTAACTGATTTAAAAACAAAAATGAACAATTAAATAAAATAAATACTTACAAAATACAAGAATATGAAAAACACAAAACTATAAAATACTCAGCTACAGGTATTACAGTCTGAATGAATCAAATTACTTTATATTTTAAAGCTTGAAGGTGTTGACATTGTGTTTGAGTGATTCAATATAGATCATGACTTGATAAAAAATAGAAATGGGTTCCCAGCTAGTGTTAACCTTCTAATAATGTTGATAAAAGGATTTTATGGTGTTGTGTACTGTCTGAGAACAGAAACCTTGCTGTTTACCTCGTAGAAGCCTCTGACCAGCGCCTCTGTCTGCTGCACCACTCCTCTCTCCACCCTCCACTTGGCCATTCGCTCTATATAATCCTTCTTGTTCTTCTCAGTCACCTGGAGGTGGGAGCCGCCTGACTTCAGCTCCCGCTCCGTCACCTAGCAACACAGGAGGTACTGGATCTAGTTAGCAGCGTAAGTCATCAAAGCAGTACAGTGAAAGCCTGTCAATGCGCAAATACATACGTTATACTAAAGATCACATGCATGTGTTTTAGAGTTGAAATGTCTAGCCGATCCACAGACACACACTGACCTGGCCGAAGACCTCCTCATTGACGGTGAAGGTGAGGTCCAGGATGTCAGTGATGTCGTTGTCTTTCATCCACTGCAGAGACTGGTGGAACTCCTCGTCCAGATACTCCAGATCAGACAGGTCTGTCGGCCTGAGGGACACGCAGAGTTGTGTCAGCTTTTTTGAAAATAACAGAGTTTTAGAGCTTTTGCAAAGAAACATAAGTGTTCTGAAAATTGTTTGCAACCAAGTTAATAGTAAAGACACAAACGCTGACTTAAGCACAATTCCTCCCACATAGCAAAACCAAGTCAGTCAGTCAGTCAGCCTGTGTACTGTAACAGGTCCCTGTAAACTGAATGCAATTCACGTACTATTGGTTTCATGCAAAGGTTTGGGCAGACTTAAAAAATCTTACATAACGAATAATCATGAATAATCCTGTGAAGTTATCAGCACACTTGCCAACCTCCAGACATCACAGCCTTAATCAGGAGAGCAAACTTAACCAGGGTATCTTCCCAATGACATTGCTGATTTTTCACAGGCATATTAATCTAATAATAACCTCTCAATCATGGTTATCATGATAAAGTTTCGGAGCAGTAACTCACTCACTAACTCCTGCCTACACACAGTGCGAGAGGAGGCGGAGAATCACTGATAGATCTGTCTGTCGACTCTACACTTGAAAACCATTGCCAAAATTAGAGTGCTGAAACTTGTCTGGTCTAACATAGGGCCAGAATAGGGCCAGCTATGTTCACACAGTTGGCTGAGATAAGGCTATGTCACAGGCCATTTGTGGCTACCCACTTGTGAATTCTTTGCTGTATTTGGGCCGAGTGTATGAGACTGACCAGTTTTGCTATGTGGGCTAAATATTTAACATAAAGAAAAGCTTGTTCATTCTTTTCAACACAGCAGCTGGTTCCCCCCACACTAAATTCCCATTGTCAGATTTTTAAAAATATATCCTAAATGTTGTTCAAAAAATGGGTAATAACAATACAATAACTTTATGTTATGGCGATCAGTTTTGGGTTTTTTTCAACTTCTCAGAGAACTATTTTTCTGTCAGTTTGGTATGATGGATTTCTATGAACACTTCAATACCCATTTCCATACCCATCTGTTGTTTTAACCCCTGACAGAAGTAAATGATACATGATAAATGTCATGGTACGTGTTAGTGTGTGTGTGCACTGACTGTCGGAGCAGGGCCTTGTAGAACGGTCTAGTGAAGAAAGCATCCAGCAGGTACTGATGGATTAGAGCCAGACCCAGGATACGACCACTGAAACGGAACCTGGAAACACACACACACACAGACACACACAGTTGAATCAGTTGAACAAAATGTTGATGATGTGAAAGTCTAGACTACAGCATCACATAAAAAAGATGTTAAACATTTTGAAAAAAACATTTTCTAACTTAACTGACCAAGTCATGTTAGAATCTGTCTGTTCAGAATGTTCTTTCTTTTTTTCAACTTTATCTTTATTGTATTTTTTTGGAAGATAATTACACAGGGTAGAAAATGAGAAGAGAAATGAACTGAGCTTATGAGGAGCAACAGGTCTACCATCTATTAAGACAACATCACTTTTCTTTCATTAAACCTTTCTAGCCTTTTTCACAACACTCGTCAAGCCATTGTTTGTAATCTGGTGCTTCAGTCTTGAGCCAGTTCATTGTGATGGCCTTCTTTCTAGCAGCTAGGAGAATCTTGACCAAGTATTAACATATACTATTAAAAACCACAGCACTGGCACAACTTTGGATTACAGTATACTTGTACAAGTACCTTTATGATAGGATGTACTTCATTCTCATTTTCCTTTTTTTAATTAAAATAATCCCTCATTTGTAAATATCAAAATAAATCTTTTTTGGTTAGATCATATGCGATTATTAAATCTTGAAAACGTCTTATTTCAACTTGAGTAACTGTGCATATGGTTGTTAGACCCTTTCCCACTCACTGTTGAAATTTGAAATCAAAAATGTTCTTTCATGAAAATGAGGCTCTGTACTGCACGACTACAGTAAATGAATGAACACACAAAGTGCTATAGACCTGTCCGATGGACGGCAGGTAACTAGATATCAGTTGCACTATTTTGGTTTGTTTCTTGAAGAAGGGTCTCCTGAGAACCATACGTGAGGTGGGTCTGCTTGGTTCATCCCACACCACATTTCAAACACCCTCAAACGATATGAGTATGTGGCCCTCTGAAGGAGCTTTGCCCCCTTAAGGGTCTGCACCACAGTGTGTGGTATAGCCATGCGATAAGCCTGTACGGTGCACTTCCATCACTTCTGGTAGACTAAGCACATACATACTGACAACGCCGAATTCCACAACTGGGCTACACCTAGATGCATCAGCAATCCACCGTCAGTGTGCTTGATGTCTGCCAGAGTGACTGTTTTTAAAACAATCCACAAAGGAGAAGCAACAGCATCTCAGAGAGCTCTCACTGGAACCGGGCAGTGGGTCAATGTCCGACTGTACTGTAAGTAGATCTCTTGTACTATTCCCAGAAAATCTATTTTCTCTTTCTTTACACTTCTGCTTAGACCCACGTCTGAACTGCTCAATGGAAATAAAAAAAACAGCGCAATCCCGCACACCTGTGTATATATACCTGTGTGTGTCAGTACAACTGGTGTGTCTAAATAATGATCCACATAATCTACCTTATCTGAGGTGGGGACTAGCCCTGTATATATACGAAATATGTAGCTGGGTTCAGATCTCGCTATTGTTTGTATTCCTGCACAGCTTACCATTCCAGATGGTTCTCAACAAACGCCGACATGGGGCTGATTTGAACGGTGTATGTATCGTTAGCCGAGTATTCAAACAGACCATAGTATGGATTGAACAACTCCTGAGACAAGAGGAAGAAGAACTCTCTGGACGGACCACTGTAGTCCAATCTGAGGAGACAAGAAGAAAGAGAAGACACATCTTTTACACATTTGGTCCGTAGTATATTTAAACTGAAAATAAATAGTTTATGCACCCCACCACAATATATTTTTGACAGAAAAACAGAGATAGAAATAAACCAAGACTTCACTATGTTCACCAGCTAGTCTCTAACTGCCTGTTGCTGAGGAGGTAGTCTACAGTGGATTTATGAGAGCTTTTTCCACTTAAAAACAGCTGCCTCCTGCTGCTGATGGAAACCAGGTTCATGAGAATAGAGTTGTATGCCAAAAAAACAAAACAGCCATTTAACATTTTACTTCATTTGATTCATTGTGTATATAACAATATTGGTTAGTGCAGCTTAAATATATTGTCTAACTACTAGTACTAACAAGCATGTTAAGTATTTCAATCACAAAGTGTTGGGCTTCAAATTTTTGTAAGAATTGCATTACTGCACTGGAACACATTTAGCTGTTATATCACTGTATGTGTGTGTGTGTGTGTGTGTGTCTCACCCCTCCTCTCCTAGGAAAGTGACGTAGAGTTTGTTCCTCTGCAGCTCTTTGCGCGAGTATGCCATCACCTGGTTAAAGGTTCCCTCCAGCAAGTGTTCTCTCCTGATCAGCAACCTACAACAACCAGGACAGCTCAGGCATCACACTGGGACTGTCCCCATGCTGTGGACTAGGAATTTAAGAAGGAGTCCCTCCTGCACCCCTCCAAACATTTTCACCACGCACGCACCAAAAGAAAAGTCTATATGTTAAAAAACATTAAGGGCTTAAGGTGGTTTCAAAGTGTTCTCTATAAGGGCAGGAATTCAATTATGGTTTCTCAGTTTTTATATTAAAACAAATTCTATACCGGAACCCAAATTACAAAAACACACTTTCATGGGACCTTGCCCCTCAATGGTAGCCATGGCACTATCTCCATGGACAAACCTCAGTGAACAGCTACTGAACTATTACTACTAGATACTATATATACTACATAAAATATGTAGTCTCACAGTCAATAAACATATTTGGAAGCAGATGATGATTATCTTCTAAATGTTAGGAGGGGAGAAAGCAGTGTGCACTGTATATGAAGATGGACAACATTTAGAGAGCTATCTAAATGTGAAGCAAAACATCTTGACAGCCCCCTGGTTTTAGCATATGTCATAACGCCCACCCCCTCTATGTGAGCAGATGTGACATAAAAAAGTTCTTATCACACTGATGTATGTTCAAGTGTTCATTTGCTGATAAGTTTGGTTTGAATTACTTATTTAAAGCTATAAAAGGGGGGTTCAAGCCATGATTGACAGCTGAATCTTGCTTGTAATTGAGTGTAATTGAGTGTAATCTTATTTTGATGGTACAACAAGCTACTTCATGTATGTAATTTACAGAGTCTTACTTGATCTTGCCTGGTCCCTGGCCATACCCCTTGGCTTCTAACTTCCTGTAGAAGTTTCTTAGTTTGGCTTCAAAGTCTCTGCGGTAAGGAGCTGGAGCCCTGGCCCTCTGCAGGCCTTCACACACACACACACAGACAGAACAAAAACAAAC